TGGGTTCGAATCCAGGGTTAATTATATATTTGTGATTGCTGCTGTTTACTCATAACACTAAGTTTAAAAAAAATAGCAACATATTTCAGTAAGTAATGAAAAAAATGCAAAAAATAGTGAAAAACTTAAAAATACACTATTTGATAACATAAAAGGCAAACAGGCATATAAGATAAAAACCCCATGTTTCAGAAAATATTCATGACAAAAATGTTTTAGTCTATTTAAGCATGTAATACTCAAAGTAAGCTATCAAAACATTACAAAAGCTCTTTAGTTCTAGCAGAAAACATCAATGTATATAAGACTCAAGCAAACAATATAGATGAACATAACCAATGTATATAAAATTCAAGCAAAAAATACAGATGAACATATAGCAAGAAATTGCGACAATTAAACTATCCTATATCATTTCACTCATAGAAAATAGATAACATGTTATAAAAAGTAAGAAACCAAAACTTTTGAATAAAGACCAAAATATAGTTTGAGCATTACCAGAATTTCCTTTCAATTTTGTCCCTTTTTTTCTGTCGTTTCTAGATGATTAATGGTAACAGTACATTGAGGGTGTGACAGATCAGCTAGTAACAGTGTGTACTGGTATTATAAGACCTTGCCACCAATCTAGTTCCGTGGTTAAATTCATAAAGTCTAGATACCATAGAGGAAATGATATTTATTCTGTTTAATACAGAAATGTGGCACATGGCTAAAGGGGGGATTGGGGAAAGGATGGTCTTCTTCTGCCTTAATGATGACTTAGCTAGCCGCAAACAATGACCCAATCGTACAAACAATATTCCTTACACCAAAACAACATATTCATATGTACCTTTCTTACTACAACCACAATAATACCTCATTGTCTCTTATGAAAATACTAACTAGTCCCCATATTTACAATTCATTATCTTTGGGGAGAGAGGAATAAAACAACAATTCTAAAAACTAGCTCCAATGAGTATTTACAATATGAATACAAAAAACTATAGAGGAAAGTTCATCAGAATAATTACGATGAAAGTATTTATAGAAAAGGCTCAGTAAAGCTACATTACTCTTATGGGAAAGTGACTGAAATCGAGATGCCAGGCCAGGATGAATAACATTGTAGCTTCTTCTTTGCATTTTATCAAGAATCTCCAAATATAGTAGGAACACCAGATCATATCAGGCAGCAATATTCAAAGCATGTATGAATGGTAGACTTATAAATAAGCAAGATAGATTCAGAAGAGAAAAAACTGTCTTGCATGACACAGTGAGCCAACTTTCCTACCAGCAGACCTAGCAATTGATTCAATAGAATCATTCTACTTCATGACATCAGAAAATTTTGTATTTTGATTCAAAATAAACAAGTTATTTGATTCAAGACTTTAATTTTTAATTTTTTTTTTTTTCATCTTTAATAATATCCTTCCTACAATCATTCCACTTGAAGATGCTTGCAAAAATTATTCTTGTAAAGGAAATCATTGCATCCTATTTCATTATTTTTGTTTTTCAAACAATTATGAGTTTGTTCCAATAATTAACTTAAGTGCTCAATTCAGATCTATATATACCTTATTACTAAAGATGCTAGAAAAATGGCCAGTTCCCTGTGCTCTTCCAGTAAGTACCTGACTCCTGTTATGTTCTACCTTTACAAGAGCCAAATCAGGTCAAAAATGGAGTACTGTTGTCATATATAGGCAGAACTTCACTTTCTTGTCTCTGTAGAGTTCAAAAGCATCTACACGTCCCTATGGGTGTGGAATTGTTTTCCACCCTACAGCTCCTTTCCCCAGAGATGAAATGTTGCAAGCCTATTGCCAATCTATTGCTATTTCCATAGAAAGTTGTTCAGGCAAACGACATTCCTTAGTTCTTCCAGTTCTAACCCTCATGGCCAAGACCTACCATGCCATGCACATTGTAGCAAACTACTGTCATTCCCTTTGTATTCCACTGGCGAGATATAAATTCCCCTCAAGCAGTTTCTTCCCATGGGCTGCTGCTTTGTGGAACCGACTCCTTAGAAAATGCTTTCTTGATCACTACAATCTTAACCTATAGATTGACTGAAACATTCTTATGGTTTATCAATCCTTTTATAGCTTATTCTAAACCAGAAAATATTTTTAGATTGTAAGAATTTGGTGGGGAGATAATAATGATCTAGTGATACAAGACTTACTAATTAACCCATAACTGGGGGAAGAAGAGGTGGATTCATACCTTTCCCAAGGCTACTTGTACATAAATGAATATAATGAACCCAACTGGAATTATAATTAACAATTCTGTGTCATTATCCATTAAACTCACCCACATATCGATGCTTACTGCACCTGGCATTCCCTTAAACTATTCAAGTCTAGGGTTGCCCATTATCTTCCCTACATATCCTCATAAACTGTGCTTCTTACTCTGTAACCCTCTACCTTGAGTGGCTCTTTGGATATGTACAGGATGAATGTTATTGTGAAAAAACAAAAATAGTGATATTAAGCTCTTTGAATTTAACCTTCATTTCCTTTTCATTCTTATTTCTTTGGTTTTCTGATGTTGATAATAAAAGAAAACATTTTTCAGTTTATATTTTCTTGGGTTCTTTTTTGTATTCTTATATGTTGCGGTTTTGTCTGATTTCTTATATTTCTTCTTATCATTCTAAAGCTGATAATGTCATTCTCATAACAGAAGTGAGCTTCTTCAAAATTAGTCTTTTTTTTATTCTTCTTTATGGAAAATAATTCCTTTATTTGAGAAATGTATTGTTACAATAAAAATCATTGGATTCTAAGCACCATTTTCTTTTCATTTTGTTTCATATAAGATATTTCTTCAGAAAGAAAGAATGAATTATATATTTATAATATGGATAACATTTCATTCTCATCTCTTTCAATTTTCATTTCATTCTTTTTTGTTGGGTTTTATATTTATTTATGTTTTATTTTTCAGTAAATTATAATTTTATTCTGATAATAGAAGTTTGCTTGTCTCTCCTCAATTTCCTTACATTGCATTTTATTCTTTTCAATGTTGCTTCTTTTTCATTATATTTCAGAAAATTATAATTTTAGTTTTATAATGGAAATCATTTTATTTTCTTTCAATTTTGCTTCATTTTCTTTCTTTTTTTTAACTTTCCTTTTTATAATTTATTCCTACCTATCTTTTGGAAGCTTATAATTTTATTCTTATAAGGGATGCTATTTAAGTCTTCCATTTCTGTATCATTATCTTCCGACATCTTTTCTTTATTCTCTAAAGAAATCATTATATTCCATTTTCTTTCAATTTTGTTTCATTTTCTTTTCATTCTTTTTCATCATTCCTTTCTTATTCTCTTTCAGAATCTTATAATTTTTTTCTCAGAATATAAATTATTTGATTTTCATTTCCTTCAATTCATCTTTCCATTTTTTTTATAGGTTTTGTATAAGTTTTTCTTCTTTTCATTTGGGCACTTATAATTTTATTCTCATAATGGAATCATTAAATTGCATCTCCAGTTTTGCAATATTTTCATTTTTTCTTTGTTTAATTTCTTCTTTCATATATTTCAGTGAATTATAATATTCTGATAATGGATGTTATTTGATTCTATTCTCTTTCAATTTCATTTGTCTATCTTTTCATTCCTTTTCTTTATTATATCATTTCTTCTTACATCAATTTTGATAATGAAAATAATTTATTCTAGTCTCTTTCAATTTTGTTTTATTTTTTTGTTTTTTACATCCTTTCTTCCTTTTTTTTTCACAACCTTACAATTTTATTCATATAATGGATGTCAAATTTGTCTTCAAATTTTGCATCATTTTCTTTTCATTCAATTTCTTTGTGCTTTCTGTAATTATTTGTGTCTTATCTTCCAAAATCTTTTAATTTCTTTCTCATAAAAGAACCATTTGCTTCTGGCCTCTTGAAAACTGACCTTGTTTTCTTTTCATTCATTTTTTTTTTGTTTAATTTATTCTATGTTATATTTCAGAAATATAATTAGATTCTTACAACGGAAGTCTTTTGCTTCTAGTTTCTGTTTTTATAATTTTCATTTTTGTCCTTTTTCTTTTGCTTTGTATCTTTCCTTCATTCATATCTTTCAAAATTTTATAATTTTATTATAATGGAAGCCATTTTATTCTAAACATTTTCAATTTTCCTTCATTTTTCTTATTCTTTGTATTCTATAATTCCTTCCTTTTTTCCTTTTTCAGCATCTTATAATTTCATTCTTATTTTTTTTCATTTCTTTTTCATTCTTATGATCTTGTGTTTTATTTCTGCTTTCTTTCAGAATATAATAATTTTATTCATATTAATATTCACTTAAATTAAGATCTTTTCCTCTCTGGTTTATACACATTTTTGTATTTTTTTGTATTCCTTCCTTCTTTTTTTTTCATTTCATTTTTTAGTTTCTTCCATTTTCCCCCCTTTTAAACCCATTTTGCTTCCTTATTTTTTATTCATTTTTGACTATTTCTTACTATTATTCTTTTCCTTCACTTTTTACTTTTTCTTTCTTTCTCCTTCTCAATTTATCCCTTTCTTTCTTGTGAATCTTTATTTTCTGAATTTCTTTCTTTTTCCTAACTTCAGAGTCTCTTTATTTTTTTTCCTTTCTATCTTTTACTTTCCAGCTTTCATTCCTTCTTCCTATTACCTTCCAAATTTTTCTTTCTTTCTACTATTTTTCTTTCTTTTTCTCTTTCTTTTTTTACTACCTTCCAAATTTCTTTCTTTCTGTAGCTGGCGAGGAAAAAGAGAAAAAGTATATTTTTCTTACTTACCCCATAAAAAGAAATACAAAAGTGTTAACTGAAAAATGTCAGATTAAATCATTTTCATTAACAAATAAGGCAGAAGTATGTCACTTCCCTGCTCTGGACAATGATAAAAGCATCAAAGGTGAGCTTGATTCTTACACATTCTTGAACCAAGACTACATTTTCTTTTTTTTTTTGTTTTTATTACCATCTTCATTTCTTCCTTTTATGACATTCTCCATAACTTTCTCTCTCCTACCTTACAAATTTCTTTCTCTCTTTTTACTACCTTCCATATTTCTTTCTTTTTATAACATTCTGAATAATTTTCTTTCTTTCTTTCTACTATGTTCAAAATTTCTTTCTTTTTCTTTCTCTCTTTGAAATTTGGAAAGTAGTAGAATTCATTCTTCCTTTGTTTTTTATTACCTTCCAAATTTTTTCTTTCTCTTTCTTTCTATGTTTCAAATTTTTTTGTCTTTCTTTGTTTCATGCTTTCTAGCTTCCAAATATATATTTTTTCTTTCTTTCTAGCTTCTAAATTTATTTCTATTTTTCTTTCTTTCTTTCTTTTTTCTAGCTTCCAAATTTGTTTCTTTTTCTTTCTTTCTTAGCCTCTCATTTCTGCTTTCGTTTTGTTACCTTTTTCATTCATTTTCAAGATTCTTTTGAAGAATCTTTTTCTTTCCTTCTATTTATTTTGTTTTCTTGATATTTTTGTATTAATTTCTTTTTCTTCATTTCTTGTTTTCTTTTGTTTCTTTCATAATTTCTCTTTTTTGATTCTATCACCTTTGATTTCCTTTTTCAGTCGCAATATTCACTTTCATTCTTTGTTTTTCTTATTTGACTTCATCATATCTCTTTCTTTTTTTCATCCTTGTCTCAACCTTTTATTTCTTCCTTTTAACCCAGTCCGTCCTGCAGTACCTCATGGTGTCTCCTTCATGCAAGAATTCACTAATGGCTTACAACTCTGGATATTTCGTGACTCACCTTCATTGCACATATTGGTGCATTGTGAATGCAAATCTTTCCTCTCCACTCAAAAAAGAAAAATAATAAATAATAATAAATAATAAAATCCTGGTGCGGTTCATTCACTTCTATTCATCAACTATTTTGCATTTCACTTTCATTTCAAATCTGAAAATCACAACAATATCTCTTTCCTTAAAGTCATGACTTACTCTGTAAAGTAAAACACTGATTACCTTTCAGTTCATATCACGTACATAACTTGGTGTATAGATCAGTTATAAGAAATTTAGTATAGGAGAAAAGGAAATTGAACATAAAATAGGTTGCACTAGGAGTAGTTTCACCCAATGCCACAAGTTGCTACAGAACCAAAACATTAATCTGGAAACTTGAGTCATGTTAACCTTGGCAAATTGAGACTTTCATATGGGGGGTGGGGGTGGCATGCTAAACTCGTTCAGCTGCATAGATCTGTTTTCTAAGATCAATAGTTAAAAATGGCTTTGGCTGAATTAAACCTCTTGATCTTGGTGAAGACAATCCTTCTTTGAACATTGTAAACTGGCGCTATAGAATCACAAAACAAAGAACTGTACCAAATAAGAGAAACCACATCACTTGAAGACTTGAAGCAACTTAAAATGGATAGTACATAAGCAGCAACTAATGACATAATGAAATGGATACTTCAAATAAAACATTTGTCAAGAAAAATTTTCTCAAGTCCAGAGAAACTTTTCAATTGACATAATTTGAATGTATGTGAGATGTACATTATTTAAATTCTGTCTATATTTCTGAGAAGGTATTATGTACATTATTTAAATTCTGTCTATTTGTCAATGAAAACCTATTTTCATCTTAAGTCTAGTAACACTTTTCAGAAAACAGTCTGCCTTTTATGTGAAGGGGTTTCAGAGAAAATACAAAGGATCTGCAGTCCATATTCATAGGCTTTTTTATTTGAGATGTTTCTCCCTATAAGATCCCTGAGATGAGGAGAACATGACTAAATTATTTAAATTCTGTCTATGCAGCTTTCTGAAAAAGATAAAGGAGAGACAGGCCATTATTTAAATTCTGAACACCAGAATTTCTGTAACACGAGGAGATGAAAAATCATGACCACATATGGAGAGAGAATTATTGCCCTCTGTGGGAACATATTGTCCAGGAAAATCTTAGGAATCAGCACATAGAGCCACAAAAATCTCCTGGACCAAGGACAACAACACTCAGAGAAAACAGTCTGCCTGAGCCTGGTAAAAACATGCAATGATAACAGCCAAATTATGAGCAAAAATGGTTGCTGAAGACATTAATAATAAAGAAATTCACCCAGATGTCCTCAAGGCATTGGTTAGATCCAGTGACAAGACTCAAAGAGTGTGTGTTCAATACCCGGTTAAGGCAGTGGAGAACTTTCAGAGGGAAATTAACAGGAGATTTCTAGTTCTAGTTCCACGTGCCATGTTTAATGGATGTCAGTTATCAGTTATCTCCTGTTATCATATAACAGCAAAAAATTGCAATATGAACACTGGTAAAAATGGTTGCTGAAGACATTAGGTTTATAATACCCAGAAATTCATACACAGATGTCCTCAAGGACACATCGCACAGTGGATAAAGGCATTAGTTAGATCCAGTGGAGAACTTTCAGAGGGAAATTAACAGGAGATAACTGATATTACAAGTAAGGTACCCACACTTTTTTTTTTTTTTTACACACCATTTGTTGTTGCATATATGTTATAATTTCTCTGCATGGGACACACGTATGTATATATAACTTTGTGTACAATGTAACATTATAAAACTGTCTGAGAACAAAGCATTTTTGTTATTCTTTTTCCATTTAGTTATTCTGTAAAGTACAGTGTTATTATATCACTGATAATGTCTATAACAGGGCAAATTCAAATGGAAGAATAAATCTTTCTTCCATACCAAACTCCTATTATAATTTTATAAATTTTGACTGAAAACAGTACAAGCTACTTGAGCAAGGAAATGATGAATGTTTCCTTATAAGCCAAAGACTAATATTACAATTATACCTGATTTACTAAATGTAGCTCATATGTGGCACAAGGTTACAAGTATTGAGCACCTAGTGATGACTGAGCTCACACCTCAGTTGTTGTGGCGGACATGAGACAGAACCTGGGATGAGCACAACTGGTCGCGACTTGCCTTGTCCCCGCCAAAAAAGAGCCCGTATTTGCTTAGCATGTAAAGCTACTGCAGTTGAAATGAGGGAGAGAAAAAAAAAGCACTTACCGCTCTGCCGTAATCCATCCTCGGCCAGATAACGTAAAAAGAATGAGGGGGGGACTGGCATCGATTTTTTTTATGCAATAACGATGCAATGCATTATGGGACATGGACACAATGAATTATGGGATCATGTGAAGACGCAAGGGATTATGGGTATATGAACAACTATAAAAACAACTACTTTTTTTCCGAGGGGGGAGTTCTTGAGGGACGTTCACGGTTGACGGCAAGAACGGGCAGTTAGTGTGATTTGGAGACAGAACTCAAGAAGGAACGACTCAAGGTTGAAATACCAGCTGGGAGAGCTTGAATTTACTCGCTGGTTACTGTTTTCTTCATTCACCTCAGTTGTAAATGATTTACAAAACAAGCATGCTAACCATTACAGCCAAGTACCCTAATTTTCATATTTACTCACATTTTTACATTAATGCGATCTGGCTCAGTCTTTTTAATGTCAGTTCCCACATATGAATATATATTCTAAAACATAGCCAAAATACCAAGATAAGCTTAGTTTGGTACAAGGTCACAAGTTTGGAGCACTCAACTCATATGCAACTAAATCTTACTTTAAATGTCAGACTTCACCTGTTTTATATGGAACATGTGTGAGGAATACATCTAAATCTTACAGAACATGTAAATGGGTACATCTAAAGCTTATGAAACTTGTCAAAGACTGAATGTAAATCTCATGGAATATATGAAATGGTGCCTCTGAATATTCTGAAATGTGAAAAGGCAATATTAATGGTAATATTAGCCTTTTTCCTACAGTGAAACCTTAGGGATTTAGTGACTGAGCAATTTGTACTATTTTTGGGTGAAATTTATAAAATCTTTCTCTTACAACAATTTTTCAGGAAAATAGTTTTATCAAGTTCAGTAGCTGTTATTGCTCTTTCTGTTATTGCTAGAAGTTTATATCCTAATCTTTTATTTGAAGAATGTCATTATCTTGATGATGTCATTATATTCTCTTTGGGTTACATGTTCAATCCATTTTAGTTGTTGCTGCTGTTGATAGTTCTCAAGTAATATGATTCCTATTATCTGGTACAGTTCTTTATGATTTTGAAGTGCCAGTCCACAATGTTCTAAGAAGAAGGGTCTTTGCCAAAATCGATAAGTTTCACTCGCTCAAAGCCACTTTAAACAATTGATCTTAAAAAGTGGTTGTATACAGCTGACAGTTTAGATATTTCTGAACAAATTTGGTGCCATGCATGACATCCATATGAAAGTCTCAATCTGACAGGGATATTTAAGAATATGAGTCCAGTTTTCAGGTTAATATTTTAGTTCTGTAACAATTTGTATTTTTGGGTGAAGCTACCTCTAATGCAACTTATTCTATGTTCAATTTCCTTTTTCTTCTAATATAGGTTGCAATGATTGCAGATATGTCATCAAACATTTCCAGGAAACTGTACACCTGCTATGTTGACCTCACAGCAGCATATGGCTGCATCAATAGAGATTTCCTCTTCTCACCCATTAGAAATTATCTTCCAAGCTCTGAATCCACTGAATGCATCGAACTAATAGAGGAAATTTATCAATATGTAAAGTCTTACATGTCTGTCAAGGCCTCCAATAGGAAAACATTCAAACCTTATAAGAAATTATGATAAGGAGGAAATGAAAGCCCCAGTCTACTTAATCTTTTCTGAGAATATGTCCTGTGCATTTAAAAGCACAGATGTGAAGAAATGGTCACTGATTTTTAAGTCTCCTATGCCACATCCCAAAAGAATGTACCAATAGAAGGCAATAATCCTGCTTCCCCCCCGACCACCACCTGAAAACAATGTACTGAAGACATAGATATTCATAGTTGGGATAAGAATGACCTTGAGTAGCAAACGTCCTCTACCAAGTGTCCGAGAAATAAAAATCAAGATAAATGTTTCCAAACCAGAGACTATGATCTGGAATTTGAATGAAAGCAATGATGGCACCGATCGTGAATTTAGGTTGTGGAATGGATACACAGGGAGAGATATTTATTTATGAAAGCTCAAAATGTAGTTTATTCAATGTTTTCCCTCTGTTCCTCTCATTCCTTTCATTATATCAAGTCAGTGGTAAATTCACCAAGCCAAATTTCCCCTTTATATGCCAAAGAAATTTCAATTCACTATTTCTGATTCTATAAGTGTCCTTTTTGTTCCTATGTTCCTATTTTCCTTAAAATCTCTAAACAACGCACATTCCATTGATGGAATTCTCAGCATCCTTCTGTTGAATCAAGCCTCTTCTTCATCGCTGAGAAAATTGTCCAGCATTCATTGCCATATAAGAGGATTCATATGACATAACAGTTTGCATTCTTTTCTTTCTTTAATGAGATCTTCCATTTTCTTAATATTTTGTTTAGCTTTTGGAAAGCATCTTTCACTATTATTTGGGTTGCTGTGTCATATTCTTCATTGTCTGTTATAACACTTCACTAATAATTAAGTTATCAGTGAAGTGTTCTAATTAATTAAACTTGATTCTGATATTGTCATTTCCTGGCTCTCTTGCTGACAACGATACATTCTGTTTTCTTACACCTAGCAGTTAGTCCTTCCTTCCTTCACTGAAAGAGAAGAATTATATTCAAAGTACACATATTAATGCTGCCAGTAATTTGAAAGTTGCACATCCATAATCTTATTTGCTGTCACTGTACAATGATGAACTTAAAAAAAAATATATTAACGAGTTTTGGTTGTCAAAGCTAAGGAGGTAATACCAACTGACA